GTAAAAACAGGAAAATAGAGAATAAGTATTAGAATGATTATCCACGCGATTTGCTCACAATAATATGATATTTATTCAGCAGTAAATTGTTACATTGCCAATGGAGTCATTGTGACAACAGCGCTCGGTAGCTACGAAGCGATGGCGCTACGGTGCTAAGGTGCTACGTAGCTACGAAGGAGCAATATTGTCCATTAGATTTGTTTTATATCACGCAGCGTCAGGTGCGACACATTGCCAACGACACAGCTTTCTCTATTGAAACGATTTATAAAACGTTAGAAAAACAAAGCAAAATCCTCATTGTATACTTGAAAACATATATTACTTCATACTTTCAATGAACGCCTGAAGCTAGACAATATTTTTCTACAATCTGAAATATAAAAACCTATTTAACTAACAAAAGCGGCTAAAAAAAATAGATTATTGGTTAAATATTTTTCTAACAGATGGCGTTAGAAATACAATAAAATTCTAAAGAAATAAATTGTAATTACTGTGCCAAAGCCACATTTGAATTTTTTTTAATAAAGTTTACCAAAAAACTACAGACAGTGTAGGATATTATATAGCTCTCTTCGCTCGCCCTTATAATATAATAACCGTATATAAAGTAAGGAAGATTTGAACTGTCCTTATTCTACCGTTTTCAGGACCTTTTCCGCTTGAATGCCTAGAGGTCATTCACCTATAGTTGATGTCGGACACCATAATCCCCGATTAAAATATGTTGTTTAGTATCTCTTTTTTGTCAAAGACATTGAGGGGGATGTCGATATGTTTTATATAATATATGGGTTTTTCGGTCTCAGAAATCAACGATAAGACTTGTCTAGGGTAACATATTCGCGAAGCAAATATTCAAAGCAAAGTCCCTACATTCTGATATGGTTCCCCTGAGCCCCGACGCACATCTTTACTATTAATTATTTTTTGATATATATATATACATATATATATATAATTGCGAATGTTATTATAAACTCCCGTGGTCGTGTATTAACCCGCAACTCTATTTGCGCAGATGTCGGCTAATTTGCAATTCCAGCGTTGCCTTGCCTTTGACAGGACTCGTCAATGTCTAGTAAAAATATTCGTATTTCATTCACATTTTGATATCTCTTTTAAAAACCAATGATTTCGTACGAATACATTGAAAGAGTTTATTTTGGCTAAAAAATATATTCTCTGCTATTTAAGAGATATTTTAAAAATATATCGTATATTCAGGGATAAAAGGTTATGTAAAACAAAATAAAGCCACGTATCCCAGAGACTATTTACTAAAGGATATTTCTTAAAACCACATATTCCACAATAACTTTCACATTGGAATGAAATTTCAAGTAAAATACCACAATACAAATTCTGTTGTATTCCCAACATTGTAAAGCTAACGCGGCTCTCGACTGCTGCAGCCGACGTGATCGAGTGTCGATTTGTTTATAAATGAGACGTTGTTGCGGAGACGTGACGCCTCATGCTTGAGTTTTGGATAAAGAAGACTCGTTTGTGCGAGGAACACGCGCACTGCTCCGCCTCGGCGCGCCTGTCGCGCAACTACAATAAGTCTACGTATTTACCACTTTACACTTTACATAATTACGTTAAAAATATTTTGACGCAACATAAAATACCTATTAGCAAATCATTTTTGTATATCTGTATTATAGGTGAGAGGGAGATGTAATAAAACATTGTAATAGCAGATTTTTTACAGATCCACGTCGACTGCTCGTACACGTGCACGTGCACGCAAACATCCATATCGGTATCTCAAGGAACTACATAGTTAGCTATTTAATTTCTCAACTTAAAGGATACGGTTCTATTGTCATGATTCACACATACAAACGCTTTGATGTTCTTTATTAGCTTAATATAAGCAACAATAAAAAGCTGCAAGTAAAAATGTACTTGTATTATTCAAAAGGAATGTTGTAATCATTAAAGGAAATTTGAAAGTTTATATTGTCGGTGCTTCAGCGAGGAGCTTGCGATTTGTTATTACTTGATGTTTTGTGAAAACAACTTGTTCGGGAGAAAACGTTTTTATTAAAGAAAGTAAAGCAGGTATTTGTCCTCTCGCCCGCGGGGAATTGCTTCTTCAATATTTATGAAACGTGCTTCCCTCATTCGAAGTAACCTTTTTTTGTACTTTTATATTCTTTCAAAATAAAATCAAATGTTCAAATTAACTTTAATGAAATTTTTTAAATAATCCCACATGATTGTACTCGTACAAGCTCATAATGAAATTGACAGAGGTTAGTTATAACAGAGTCTGCAGCTAGTTAACCATGCGCTATATGCAATAAACGTACGACTCAAGGCGCGAATGTTTTGGTCCAGTGTGCAGTTCAGTTAGTTGAGAGTTTCGATGTAATGTTGAGATACGAATATAAGCTAAATAAACGTAAATGCAAACTGTGAATAAACAAGTCCACTTGCTTTTAACCAAATTGCAGATGGAGACATGCAAACATTTTAGCAACCCACTTTAAATAGAAATATGTAAAATTGTACGTTTAAAGTGTACGTGAGTTATGTCATACAATAGTCAGTTAACAAAGAACATGCACAATTGTTTCTTTACCTATTTTTAGTATAACTTTAAAGTTTAAAATAGCATTGAATAATGTTAAGTGCATGTCTTCAATTTCGTTCTTAAACAATTCACATACGTTGCTGAATTAGCATAAACGTGTTATTGCTATCGCTGGTTGCGGGACGATGCGATGTGCCGCTCGCGTGCACCGCTGTCTCCATTCTGTTTGCACGCGGCTACAACACATTACAATATAACTTCTCTATTTACGTCTTTCTATTTTAAACCTGTGTCAATTGTTATAATAGTTCATTTAACATTAGCAAACATCTGACGTTGACGCTAAACAACTATCGGACTTAGCTCTTGAAAGTTTATTGAAGAGCCTTGGATTTGGTTATTTGATAGTTTTACAGTTTACAGTAGTTAGGTTAGTTTGCAGGTATTAGACAGTAATAATTTGTAAGTCTAATTTAAATATTACGTAACATTACTTTTCTAAATTAAAATTCTAAATAGTATTTCGTTGTTTTGTGAATAGTGTTCGCAGAGTTATTACGTTAACAGGTTCCAAATAAATATCTGTCTGGATATGACAATGAGATGGCAGCACTGAGCAACCTTTGCCTCAGAATGTAATCACGGGCATGAATAATTCATCTCAAGTTTTTCAATAGATAAAACATGTATTTGTAGGTCGACCTTTGTGCGAATTCAATATCGCACCGCAGACGACCATTGTATGTACGACTCACAACTGCTCGGGATTCATCTATCATAATTAAATAATATATTATTATTTATAAGTATCCTCAACCTACAAGGTTTTTCCAAAGAAAATTATCTTGTACAAAATTTAGTTATTGTCTTAAAAATTGTTAGACTGTTTCCAATACGATTTCCTTTCTCATATAAGTTGCAATTATTTACATTAAAATAAACGTTTGCATTATGATGTACTAAGCCGGGCGTAAAAAAACGCCCGCTCGAATGCGACACAATTTTTTCGTATTACAATCTATGTGCTACTGTTAGATGAATCATGTGGATTGCACAGAACGCAAAAGTCTCGTCATTAAAAATAAATAACATCGCGTCTGTCCACATAAAATGGTTCAAGTTCAGAAATACGTAAGAACGCACTCAAACTCACATAAAGATGTTAATAACGTCAATAGTCTAGGAGCGCACTTTATGGGCCACAAAGTTACTGTTCGTTTCCATTAAGTACACAAAAGTAGGCCGTAAACTTGTTCTGACTTTGTATTTTATAAGGTCTTTTTTAATGCGCTCCTCAGATTATGGAAGCTGAGCCACCGATTCTGCAACATTAAATGCTATCCTAGTGCCGTCTGATGCCTACAACTTCGCAGGGTCACATAATTTGCACCTAGAACACATCTAATTAGTTCTACTTTTGGTGTAAAAGTATGAACTTCGTCTTATGTGTTGGCTAAACGTTTTTTATAAAAAAAAACAATTATTGCTTCTTAACAAGTCTACTAATCTGTGTTATTGTGAAGAAAAAAAATAAAAGTCTCCCCTGTAATGTGTTAACTAAAAACATATTTTCGAAGTCGGCGTTGTTAGATTTCCACATTTCCTAAAGTCCATGTGCACAATAGGAAGAGTTCCGACTGCCAATATTTGTACTTGTTGTTGAAAATGTTCCTTGTACACTCTGAAGGAAATAATTTTACAAGAAAACAATTCTGTAACGTCTTGTCGCTGCTTTAAGAATTTTTGCCAGCGAGGAGGCACCGTATCTCTGTGGTAATAATACGTTGTATAAGAATTTTCTTTTGCTTTAATAGATGCCATAATCGCCAACGTCCAGAACAGAATTTGATAAAGAGCGCGATTCCTCGGGTTGTATTTGGAAAGGTAAAAACCTAAAAAAATTATATCTACTTAAAACCACACCACAATTTTCATAATTTATCTATAGAAAATGGAACAAGTTTGTGAAATACGGGCAATAGAATAGTAATAAGCCAGTAAGCAAGTCGTCATTAAAAACTTGCTGTGCAACAATTGTGAATGCTTAATGTGTATTAATTATTTTTTACCTCCCTAAATGTGAAATCATTTTTAAATACAAAGTCTGAATGTGCCATCTAGTGGTAAAAAATTTAAACATGGAAAGATGTGTTTCTATTTTATTTAAGAAACCGCTACATAGATGGCGGTGTTTTCCAACACAGATTTTTTTAGTTTTTGAGACTCAATAAATTATTGATAGATGTCGCTTATAATGTTAAGGATAAAATAGTTAACGGTCAATATTAAACCATTTTTATAAAAAGTATTTTTAAATCACTTTTGATTAATTTTTAATTTTTTTAAGGGTCTCAAAAGAAATTGACATGGTAGAATAAAATTGTCTATGGTCACATAAAAAGACAGCAAAAAGTTAACAGAATCTATGGTTTTATATTTGTGTCGAACCGAAATACGTCGAGAGTTACGACGCCGGCGAACAATTTATTTCAATTATCATGAGTAAGCTCACTAGACAAGCTGTGTGTTATCGCTTTGTGTAGAGGAATATTTGAACTATATAATTTGTCGATAGGAGGTCATAAACGAGTGTCGTGTATCAAATAATGGTTTGGGATGGAACATTAGTGACATCTCGCCTTGCAACCTTGGTTATGGTTACGAGAAAAAGTGTATTTTGAAAATATATCCAAGTGTTTTCTTCTGGAAAACGTTTGTGGGATATTTAATATACTGTGCAGTGGTGGTTTTACGCTGTGTTTCGTTAAATCGGTGTTATGTCGGGAGGAAGAAGTATCGACAAGGAGCGCAAGTCGCCCAGAGAAAGCGGTGAGGACTCCGAGGATGAGAGCGAAATTCTTGAGGAGAGTCCCTGCGGCCGCTGGCTCAAACGCCGTGAAGAGGTGGGTGCTTTAATTTCAATATAGTTTACAAAGACAACATTAACCTCGGCGTATTTAGGACATTTTACATGCCGTCAGCTGATTTCAAGGTTACTTGATTGATCAATTAAGACGCAATACTCAGTATTTACAAGTATTTTGATCATGCCTGGAATTGCGATCATCAAGTTGTGCCACTTGAAATATGTTTTATTTACATTTCTGAGAGGTTTGTTTTGTGGACAGCAACTCACATTTTATGAATAGAATCTGCACAAATTGAAATTGTTATGTGTAGACCACAACACTAGACTAAGTAAACATAACATTTTTTTGATATATTAGAGTGTTGTTATTTTTTATTGACATTATTTATTTTTGTCCTTTTATATTGTGGAAATAATTTATGCTTTAGGGGTTGAGAAAATATTGAAGCTTTTTGTGTTGTAGTAAAAGAACCTTTTTGATAACAGCGAGGGCAAAAAGTGTGAATATGAATTCAATATTACTATACAATTAACGCTGAGTTATAAATTTATACATTACACACCATGATAGTCCCTCTCTTGCAAACAAACCAACAATAACTTAAAATGTATTAAATGTAACTTATGTTGAAAAGGATTTTTCTGAAATGAATGAAATATGGACAAAGGACATACTCAAATGCGGAAATATTGAAAACTGTTTACAAATATAAATATATTATGTATAGAACACTACACTTATCTAAAAATGTGACCTGATATCCCGTAAAAAAATATTTGTAGCAAAACAAATACAAATATATGACTTAGAAATAATTACAATTCTAGAGTATAGTAATTTGTGCCTTGTTTATTTTATGTTTAATGCAATGATTATTTTGTGTAATTCTATGTTTTATAACAGTCATTCCCAAAAGTGGGCGATAACGCCCCTTGTGCAGGTTATAGTAAAATTTTTGTTTAGAATTCTCCGTTAACATATAATACATATGTAGGTCACAATAATTAAATTAATTTAATTTGAAGTTATAGTGGTTTTTAAATATGTGAAAACATTGGAACACTAAAAAAATATTTATTCTCAAAGTAGGCGGTAGACAAAATAAGTTTTGGGAACCACTGTTCTATAACAAAAGACTTGTAAAACACTTTTTTTAAAGTACAATTATTGCAGATGTCCTGCTAGAAAAAAAAACCAAAATGTAGTCTTATCATAGATATATATATATCTGTTAACAGAATGAAAAATAAGAATTTAAAATACTATAAAGTCTTACTATATCAATTTAAAATTCTTCTTCTAATAAATAGATTTTTAATATGTAACTCACTTAGGCAATAACATAAGATTTTCAATATCCGTGTGAGGCTAGGGCATGTTAGTAATGAACATATTTTTTATATTTTCAGTTTATTTCATATAGGTTCGGTTTACTTTTAATTAAAGCTTTAGGTATGAGCTCTTATTTGTTTATTTGTACACATTAATTATATTTGAACATATTGAGATAAGTAAATACATTTATAAATAAACAAATATAAGTAATTAAAGTGCTATTAACTAATGTATTTATAAATAAATGTAAATTATTCTATATAATGTGTTCATTACTTAATTATATTCAATTTTTCAATGTTTGTGTTACAATAAAAGTCTAATAACAGTTCTAGTTAGTAACAGCCATTCAACTTTTTTCTATATAATATTCTTAGTCCAAATTATTTATATGTTTGACTTACAGCTAGTACATAAGTAACAATATTAGATACAATATAGTTCACATACATACAGCCAGATGTGGTTACATTCTCAAAAATATTCATCAACATACAAACACTATTAAACTTTTAAAAAAACAATAAACCCAACTGACTTAGGTTACTATGAAATAGTGCCATCTATTGTCTATTTTTAATTTAAAACACTTTCTTAATTTAGAATATACCTGAAGACGTCGAAAAAATGATAAATGTAATAAGAGTTGTTATTCATTTTTAAATAAAATAGTTTTTTAATTATCAGTATGTTAACTTGCAAGATTTAAATGCACCCACTGGTTGTTTAGTTCTTATTAAAAATTAACAATTTAAAGACTTCCAGAAGTTTGAATGTTGCTCAGGCATCATCATCACATAGTATATTCTTTGCCTGTAATAATGAGTGGGGCTTCATCTGGTCTGGTGACCTTGATTGCATTAATCAGTTCATTTTATTTACCTAACAAATTACATTGCAGCAATTACTTTTAATACTTATAATTACATACTAATATCTTATCAATTTCAACTATTGCATAATTATAATATGTTATCTCTCTGATATTACAATATCATTGTGTTCACGTCAATTTACATTTTTGTTTAGTGTTTAATCTTTAAACATAGTGCGTATAGATTCAGCTCTTTTCCAAATTAATTAGCTACAGTCGCGCGACGGCGCGGCGAGCTATCGGCTGCGCTTGCGAATAGTTAATTGAACAACGGTTAGCGCGCGACTTTCCCCGCGCGGCGCCGCGGTCGTCGACCGCCGAACCGGCGTTTACGCAATCCAATCACTGTCGCTTTCTAGGCCTAGGGTCCCAGTCTGACGGATCTTGCGGCTGCTGTGGACCGCTGTGAGCGGCTCACATCACTGCTTGATAACACCAGCATTATTTACTTAACGATATTGTAAAATTCTGGAATTACAATAACAGTAATTAGAAATTTGTATGATATTTCAAATACAAATAATTGCATTTTGTTAACAATTCTAATGAATATAATATTAGGGAAAAATCTTTATTGACAACTTTTTGTAAAATTTTACGTGTATCGAATGCACTTCGTCTAACGCCAAAATCAATATAAACCCTGCACTCGTGTCAGTAAACAAACACCTACGTGTGCAATCATTTTTCAAATAAACCTGTCATTTATAATTGATTATTTTTATATTTCCACAAGTTTTTCCAACATTGATTATTTTTAATCGAGAACCGTAACTTTACTCCCACGATGCACGTTTTTTATGAAACTTCTCATAAAAAAATGTTAGTATTTTTAATTGTGTTCCAGGTATTGTGTATAATGGTGTTTGTTGTGTTCTGTGAACGAGTATTGTACGCGGCCAGGGCGAAGCGTCGCTCCGTACATGCCAATTTAGTTGTGCACCTTACAACCCTGCAGCGTCGTCTCGCTCGTACTAAGACTACACTTTTTTCCACATCTATTCATTTGATTCAAGGTCACGTTTATTAAGAAAAACATGTATATCCTCTAGAAGTGCAAGCGAATGATGTCCACAATGTTGTTCTCCGGGTCATGAGAACCGCACGACCTTTAATATTTAAATACTTATATAAATACACAGGCACAACGCCAGCGCTGCTTCACGAACCAAAACTTGCGGATTGACCATCGCAATATCTTAATTAAACTCTAATGAACTGCGTCTCTACTATATCTTTAAATTTAAATAAACTCGGATTTTATTACAAAATTCAACAAATTGATGTTAGTAATGAAAATATTGACAAATTGATAGTAAATGGTTGATACTGTAACCCTGGAGTTACGCCGCTTATTATTGTTGAGGAAATCCAATCGTATTTTATTCCGTCTTCGTAAATGAGTTCCCGATCCGCATAACAAAATCGCGAATCATAGGTTTTCTCCCAGTGACATGACATCGCCCCCAAAGAAATATATTCACAGTTGGTTGACTATGAAATATTAGTTATCTCCTTATACCGTTCTATCAAATTTCTGAATGAAATATTGATTGGCTCGGACCTTACACACATTTGGCAATACAAAATGTGAATGTATCTCGCTTTATGTTAAGTGTTTTTATTGAGCGTGCAATTAAGGCGGACAGTAAAGTCGGAGAAAGTAATTACATGTAATAAGTCGTTAAGAGGTGTTTTATTGCAGTCTGTGTGATCTCTGGCACCTGGCGCCGTGTCACTTGACTATTAAAATACATCTGCCACACTTAAGTCATTTAGTTGTCAAGGAATCTCTCTGAGAGTTATAGTTATTAGTTTTATTATAGGTATTGTTATAAATATCGCGTATAAAACTTGTTTCAGTATATTAAAACTTGTTATGTAAACAAATTGATAGCCGCACCATCATGAAACTCGGAAGCCTGAGAAATACTATCCAGTATTTAAATAGAACTTTTATATTTATATCATGTTGTATAGTTTCATGTATATAAACAATGTAAAGTGAATTAAACAGACGAGAAGCCATCGATCGCTTTGTTTAAAATAACACACTGTTTTGTCTCGCTTACGTAAATTGTATATTACGACTCGTCAGTAGCTCACTATATTACAAAATTGAAAATTAAAACACTACTGGTTAGGTACTAAATACATGATAACATTAGGTATATAGTTGGTAGATAGTTAATTTGTCGTCTTGGAATAAATATTTTGTTACAAATTATAATATGATACGATGAACAATGTACACGATTCAAAAACATATTATTTACGTCACCTATTTTTTCTATTACAACAAATATTTGAATAAGTAGTATTGAAACAATAAAGTTAACAATGATTAGTCATACATTAACACACACACACACACACACACACACACACACACACAGAGTGATTTATTGCAGTGATATGTTATGAAGTAACGATAACGTAATATGTTAAGTGACACAGTTATCTCTTGTTTACATATTTATGTTATCTTGTTAGGTCATGCAACAATAGAGTTGAGAGCATTATACTATTTTAATCCAGCAATAGTTGAAGAGTTAAAATGCTCATTAACAATTGACTTCCACACCCAGAGTGGGTTGATGGTCCTTTTTGCCTTAGTCTATATTTAGTACCTTAATTTATAGCCCACGTCTTAAATTAAGACCATCTGCAATACTAAAGTCTAGTTACGTAAGTGTATCGCTCCAAAATATTAACTTTGTAAATTTATACACAGTTGTGTTTAATCTCATCATTATAATTATAGTCTTGCAGAGATTACAACTTTCCCGAACCTGACGTGCCTGTCTCGATCACCAGCAAGATT